TTACTCTAAAATAAGTAGCACCTCCATGTGCCTGCCAGGCTAATTTTTCTGTGTCTACGTGGGCTCACGTGTTCCTGCCGGGGTCTGGAATCCGTCTCTATGAGTCAATCCAGGTAGAACGGAGGCGCGTGTCTTGACGATGACAGATTGTGGCAGAAGGAGAACAGGATTCGGCTGAGCCGGGTGTTCGGGTTCGAGGCTTTGTTCGGGCACACACTAGCTGTAGGCCCTCATCAGGCTACCTAACCACCTGGAACATCCGCATCCTCGTCCGTAAAATAAGGTTTCAGACACAGCCTGCCACACTGGGCTGCAGAGGTGAATGCCATGACAAAGGCTGCGCACGCCAGGCAGCCGGCAGAGCACAGGATATGTGAGCATCCACTCTGACCCACTGCTCACAGGCAGTGCGTGGCGAGGTCATGGGCCACAGCCACAGGGCAAACAGGTGCACCCTCACAGCACTCTCTTCTCAAGTGTGGCCCAACGAGATGCAGGAGAGCCAAGGGGACCACTGGGGACCCCTGTTTGCTGCCCCCGCTCCTCCAGCGTCCCTGGTTCTAACCCAGCCAGCCCTGGGGCCACTCCATGATACAAATGCTAAAGTGGTGGGAACTTTGAACCGACTGCCTAGGAGGGGCCGTGAGCCACAGGAGCTGTCCTCCTAGGGTCCTTTGGAGCTGTCCTCCTAGGGTCCACACCCACGGCTGGCCCCGAGAGGATGGCAGGAGACTAAAAGGACCAGGAACATGCGCCCAACTTCTCACTAATGCCTCAGAAATAGGCATTACATCAGATCTGTGGAAGGATGCAGAGAATCTCCAGAGAGGAAGATACACAGGACACACACGGAGGAAGTACTAGCTCCTCATCAGGGGAAGCCTATTCCTGCCCACCCCGTGTCAAGATCACACACGTGTGTGTGTGTGTGTGTGTGTGTGTGTGTGTGTGTGTGTGTGTGTGTGTGTTGGCTGCAACTGCCCTGCTGGTCATCATGCTATATTTACAGGCATTTAATAAAACATTCATCTGTATTTTGCACTTTATTTTTTCTGCTTGGGAGTTACATTTTTATTGACATGCTTCTGCTGTACAGAACTACGCATGCGTCTAGCTCTGAATGGCACCTGCTCAAGAACTCCCAGAAGCCCCTGCACTCCACCCAGGGTGCCCACAGTCTTGACTTCTCTCACTGTAGAGTCCCTTTGCAATGGAATCCTCCAGTTCACACTAGTCTGGTGCCTGGCTGTCCTCAGGGAACCAGGGGACTTCCTGTTGGAGTCTCTGGCACGCTCCCCCGCATCCACCCACCCCCACACACACACATACCAGTCTGTGAAAGACTCAGGGGCTCATTGCCTTCACTGGGGAGTCATCAGGCTTTTCTCCCAACACTTAGGGCAAATTCTCCCAGCCCCGGACAGCTCTGGAACGCAGCAAGGTGCCTGGGCCAGTAGCAGGGTCAGGAAGCCGAGTCCCAAATCAAGTCCCTCTCTGAGCATAGGTGCCTAGGTTCCTTGCTGCGTCTTAAGGTGGAGCCACTCCTTCCTGGGCTTTCCTCACCGTTAGACGACTGGTCTTGGGGACAGAGTCCTACCGCTTAGGCCCGCCTCCTCTGCACCTCCCGGACGAATAGAAAGGCTCCTTGTGGCACTGGGTCTGGGGGTCCTGGAAGAGCTCCGTGACTGCCCCTCCCCTGCTTGATTCCCGGCTGCAGTGTGCGACTCTGCCACTGGGAGGCGCCATGAGCTTCTACAAACCCTGACGTATGGGCTGCCTTTGGCCAAGGCAGGCAGGGCGACCGCAGAGGGTCAGGCAGGGTTCTGTCACCTCTCGAATGCTTATGAAGTCCATCTCTGACAGGCCAGAGGCATACAGGATCCAGGCAACTGAGCCAGCAAACAGAAGCCAGCATCACCACGCACCCAACAAGCTGGATCCCCCCACCCTTCCTGGTCCAGGGCACCTGCAGGCTTGGCCCACCCACACCCTGTGGTGGACTACAGCGTCCTCATCCTTAAAACATCCCTACCAGGGCCCGGCGCGATAGCCTAATGGCTAATGCCCTCACCTTTCACCCTCCTGGATCCCATACGGGCACTAGCTCTAATCTCGGTGGCCCTGCTTCCCACCCAGCTCCCTGCTTGTGGCCTGGAAAGGCAGTAGAGGATGGCCCAAGACCTTGGGACCCTGCACCCACATGGGAGACCCAAAAGAGGCTCTGGGCTTCTGGCTTTGGATCAGCTCAGCTCCGGCTGTTGCAGCCACTTGGGTAGTGAACCATCAGACAGATCTTCCTCTCTGTTTCTCCTTTCTGTATATCTGACTTTACAATAAAAATAAATCTTAAAAAAAAAAGCACACCTACTGCTGAAGGGTAGGGGACCAGGGCACAGGTGGGCCACACAGGGAGTGTCAACCAGGCTTGTAGCCATGCTTACTGCCATTGATGTTGGAAGGCGTGAATGTCTCGGCCAGCCCAGCACTGAGAACTGGTTTTGTCCTTGAGTAAATCTTCCTGTTCCTCTCTCCTGGGTTGGGGGCTCCAACCCAGCCTTAGCATGGATCCCACTTCCTGTCCCAAACATGGCAACAGGAAGCAGCTGCTGGGTGTTTGGGAGCAGGGCCAGCTCCGAGTGCAGGCAGCAAGTCCAGCTGCCCCTGGGAAGCAGTGGTGAACCCCCAGAGCTGCCATCCCCACAGCCTGGCAGAAGCATCCCTGCAGACAGACCCTGAGCCCCCCCAAGGGTGCCACTGGCAACTGGTGACCATGAGTGCTGGGTGGGAGATCCGTCATCCACAGGCTGAGAATTGGGGGGGCAAGTCACTCTGCCCCCTCCCGGGCCTTTCCCCACATGCACAGCACCACTTGGCATTGGCACACAGTAGGTGCTCGATAGATGATTGGTTTAATAATATCCAAAACACAACTCTGCTAGGCTCCAACACCACGCATTCCCTCATTTTAGTTCTGGGTGATGTTATGCCCAACCCAGGGTCAGGATTTAAGCAACAGGTATGGCCTAATACAGGAACCAGCTGCCTGTGCACATAGTCTCTCTACCCAAGTTGCAGATGTCCCGCAAAGAATCTCTGTGAGAGGCCCTGGAGAGACCTCCCCATTGGTACGCCCCGTGACAGTGCCACCACCTCCTTGGATACACACTGGCCTCCGACACCTGAGCACTGCCGCCAGCCATCATGGGGGCAGGGAACGTGGCACAGGCCCTCCAGCTGAGCAAATTCTTTTATTGGAGAAGAAAATTACAAATGGGCACCGTGTTGCAAGATGCACAGGTCAGATGGGATAACCAGCTGCATGAAGGCCAAGGTGGCCACAGGCCACAGCCTGGGGTCAGAGTGGCTGCAGCTCTCAGGGCGACCCAGGGACCCGTATTCACTAGGGCCCGGGGACCAGAGTAGCCCTCTCTAGCCCTCCAGCTTGGCACCTGCTTCGCTCCAGTGGCTCCCATAGCCAACAGGAAAAACACAGGCCCCTCTCGGGTTTCCCAAAGCTCCTGCCAAAGCTGGTGTCTCAGGGCCACTCGCTGCCCCTTGTGGGTTGGCATAGCAGCCCCTTCCTGCGCATCTGCAGGGTACCAGGCTGGCAGCTGCCCCTTCCCACTGGCTTCCCAAGGCCTCGGAACCAGAGCAACACCAGGCTGGACCTTCCCACCTCCCTAGCAAAGAGGCCCTCCCCAGTCTGTGGGTTGTCAGCTCCTTCAAACACCCAAGGAAGCTTCACTGTACAGAGCCAAGACACAATGTCTGCAGGCCCAACATCAAAGTAGCCAGGAGAGGGACCCTGGCGGCCAGAGAGAGGGTGGCTCTGCCCCCCAGAGTCCCAGCTTCCCTTCTGCTAGGACATGCCCAGGACCACATGTCCATGGCAGCCCAAGGCATGGGGCCAGGGACTTTGAAACATTTATTTACAGAAGGCCAGGCTGGACCCACACAGGAAAGACCACCATGTGGCCAAGACAACACAGGACATAGAGGGGCAGCTGTGGGCTTGCAGCCAAGAGGAACACACAGTGTGGGCCATGCAGACACATGTGCAGGCACATGCACTGCCCCCATATACACACAATCACATGTATGCGTGTACACCATCTCCCCACAATACACACATATGTATGTATGTACCTATGTACCCTCACATGACACTCCCATGTACACACAGACACTCATGCCTTCAGATGCACACACACTGAAAAGCATGCGGCCATGGCCGACACACATATGTACACACTCACACCAGTGCACATGTATGTGTTCATGTGTGCACACATTTCTTTCCTTACACAATGTGCACACGCATACATGCTCTCATTAACACATGTGCATCATACACACAGCCCTCACACGTGTATCCACACACACATACATATCACATACACACACACACACACACACAGGTTCTAATCTCAGGAAGTTGGCTCCAGCTCAGGAGTTCAGACTCCCCAGGATGACACCTACCAACAGAGAGCTCTCTCAGACCCCCTAGAACCTCACACCCCGGGCTGTAACCCACACTACAGTGCCTGGTAGCCTGCTAAGTGTCAGCAGTGGACAGTTCCAGGCAAGCCTCGGCTCTGGACAGGGACAGGAAAACCACAAACCAAGGTGAGGTCAGGAGCTGGTTGGACAGCTCCCCACCACACCACCCATCTCCCCTGCCTTGACAGAGGCTGGGTCACCAATGGGCAGGGGTCCTGTGGTGGCATCAGAAGGAGCAGAGCAGGGAGAGAGCCGGGGGTGAGAGCAGGGCTGCGAGGGTAGGGGAGATCCCGGGGCAGTTGAAGGCTTCAGGCTGGGGCATCGTGAGGAGTGGATGAACACAGTTGGGGAAACAGACCGGGCCCTCTGCAGAAGCCAGGAGATGCTGACCATGTCCTGCCCACCCCAGCCTTCCCCCACTAGGAAAACCCTCACTCAGGAAGGGGCCCATCCTGCGGGGTGGGGGGAGAGCAGGGCGCAGGAGGCCACTCCCCAGCAGTGGCCCAGAAAGGACTCAGAATCGGGTGCTCTGGTAGCGTATCCGCCGCAGGTCTGGAAGGCCCTCGCCCCGGCAGTACGCCTCACTGCGGGGACTCTCGGCCAGTCACCGGGTCCCCGCCCCGCCCCCGCCGCCGCTGCTGCCACTGGCACTGCTGCTGCTGCCGCTACTGGAGCTGCCGCTGCTGCACCGGTCCTCGTAGATGGAGATCTCGATCTGGGCAGCGCGTTAAGGAGAGCTGCCGGTGGTGTGGGAGATGCCGGGTGGCTGAGAGCTGCACCCCACCCAGCCCGCTTGCCCAGAGATTCCTGGTACAAGCCATGAGTGCACCAGGGCTTGTGTTCCAGAGCCTGTAAGGCCACACCCTAGGATGTCTGGGTCCTGCATTCAAATCCTGACTCAGCCGCTCATGGGCGGGTCACTTGGTACCAGTCCTCACGTGCCACCTCCATGAAATGGGGGTCATTATAGAGTCTTGCCGTGAAGCCTTCGTGAAGGACATGGTGGTCAGTGAGTCCTGAGCACCGTGGCTGGCCCTGGCCTTGTTGAGCATGATGGTGCCTGCATTTGTTTGCCTTATTTTCCCCTCTTGGCTTTGCCGCCAAATGCACACCAGGGTCATGCCATCCTGGGGGAAATAGCAGAACCGAACCCACCAAGGTGCTGAGCACTGTTCTCCATCATGGTTGAGCTGCTTCCCGTAGACCCGGCTTTTCTCACCCAACAGGAGCTACCAGGAGAGAGTAAACAAAGAAGACAGGAATCTGCGGACACACACAAGCAAGGACTGGCCAATTCTCCACCGGCCTGAGAGCCACACGGCTAAGGGTGTGTGGCAACCCTGGCCTGGCATGCAACAACTGCAGGACGCCAAGCATTGTGCCCACGCCTGCAAGGAAAGAAGAGCCATTGCCCAGCTCACGGGCTGCAGGGAGCTTTGTATGAATTCACATCCACAAAAACCTTACAAGACTTCCAGCAGCCCATAGGTATGCTGGTTCAAGTCCTGGCTGCTCTACTTTCACTCTAGCTGCTTACCAATGTGCCAGGCAGCAGAAGATGGCTCAAGGGTGCCTAGCACAGTGGTGCAACGGGCTAATCCTCCCCCCAGCCGGTGGCACCAGCACCCCATAAGGGCACCAGTTGTCCCAGCTGCTCTATTTCTCTCTCTCTTTTTTTTTAAGATTTATTTATTTATTTTTATTGGAAAGGCAGATTTACAGAGAGAAGGAAAGACAGAGAGAGAGAGATTTACAGAGAGAAAGGAGCTGGATGGGAAATGGAGCAGTCGAGACATGAATTCGTGCTTTCATGGGATTTCAGCACCTGCAAGGCAAGGACTTGGCCACTGAACCATTGCACCAGACCAAGCAGCTGCCTCACTTCTGATCCAGCTCTTGTTTACGGCCAAGGAAAGCAGCAGAGGATGGCCCAAGTCCTCAGCACCCTGCACCCACATCGAAGGCTTAGAAGAAGCTCCTGGCTGCCAGTGTCAGATCAGCTCAGCTCTGGCCACTGTGGCCATTTGCAGTGAACCAGCACATGGAGGGCCTTTTCTCTCTGTAAAATCTACCTTTCAAATTAAAATAAATAAGTATTTTTAAGAAAAAGAAGAACAAGATGGCTCAAGTGCTCAGAACCCCTGCCACCCATGTGGGAGGCACAGATGGAATTCAGAATCCTGGTTTCAGCCTTAGCCAGTGCCAGTCATTATTACTGGGGAATGAGCTAGTGGATCGAACACCTCACTCCCTCTCTGTCTTTCCCCCCCTTTCAAATAAATAAACCTTAAAAAAAATCTGGCCAATTTTAAGCCTCCATGTGCAAGCCCTGTCACTCACGGCCCCATCAGTGCTGGTGGGGGTGGGCACACCTCCATTTCCTGGTAGCCTCACCAAGGGGCCCACTGGTTGACAACTCTGTGCCCTGCACCGAGTAGCTCTGAAGGATACAACCCTCATCCCACGTTCCACAGGGTCGGTGAGCAGGAGGCCTCGAGGCGCGAAGATCTTCTCATTCTGCTCCTGGATGTAGCGCGAGATCTTCCTGAGAACCTGCAGCAGAAGAGGGAGCCAGTGAGGACCAGAGTGGCAGGAGGGCCCTGCGGCAGGAGGGGCAGGTGAGGAGGGGAGGGGCAGGAGGGCCCTGCGGCAGGAGGGGCAGGTGAGGAGGGGAGGGGCAGGAGGACCCTGCGGCAGGAGGGGCAGGTGAGGAGGGGAGGGGCAGGAGGGCCCGGTGGCAGGAGGGGCAGGTGAGGAGGGCAGTGGCAGGAGGGCCCGGTGGCAGGGGTGCAGGGAGGGGAGAAGGGTGGCCACCTTCTCATAATGAGTCTCCATGCAGAGGAAGATGAAGTAGGCCGTGGCACAGGCCAGGCAGCCCTCCAGGTACGAGCTGCCTCCAATCTTCTCAGCCTCTGCATAAAAGCTGTTCAGGGTCTTGACTGTCTCCTCAAAGAGCTGCCGCTCGATCTGTGGGTGGAGAAGGACAGATCTGGCTGGGGTCAGCCACCCTCACAGGTGCACAGTGGCAGGTGGCAGTGGGGTTGATGGTATGGATGGGGCGGCATGTGGGGGAGGGGGCAGATGATGCCATGTACACTGGTGACACCGCAGAGGGTGCAGGCATGGGAATGGGAGCCGGGCGACCTGGCTGTCCCCTGGCTGCATGACTCTGGACAAAGGACTTAAATATCTCTACAATGAGACTGCAATGGCTGCCGGGCTGCCCTCAGAAACAGGAAGCTGCCTTGATCTTCCCCACCCTTTTAGAGTCTCAAAGTGACCCCGACTGTTACCCCCTTTTTGGCTGGCTGTGTAAGAGCTCAGGACCAAATTTGTAGGGGTTGTCTATGTTCTGATGGGTCTCCAGCTACTGAGACCACTGGGATGCAATGTCAGGAGTCTCTCCCAGAAGTCAAAGGCACCAGGAAACCTGTGTGGTTGGACACCTCAGAGAGGCTGTCTTACCTGTCATCACGGCCAGCACCCACTGGACACCTCCTAAGGCCAGCACTGGTACACTTGATCCCCAATACTTCTATCTGAAAGCTATCACTGTCACCCCCAGCTGACAGCTAAGGGCCCCAGTGCCCTAGGGCCCCAGTCACATCACCTCCAACCTCTATCCTCCCTGCCCCAAACCTCCGCCCTAACTTCCTGTGCAACTTGGATCGTCTCACGCCAGCCGTCAGATCCCTCTGCAAGCTGGGAGGATGGGCTGAGGCAATGCCTCCCGGCTGCCATGCAGCCACAAAGAACATGAGGCCCTGGTTAAAGTGGAGGTACAAGGTCAGCAGAGGCAGGTACCCTCCAGGGTCCTGCTAACGAGCTCCTGGTGGTGCCCGTGTTGTCCATGCGCAGATCACAGTGCCAGTAACCAATCACCTGAGCAGCTTTTACAGTGAATCCGTGTCCAAAACTCACTCCCAAAGTCTCAAATAGTCTTTAGTTGAGGACCAAGCAGAGCAGCAGAGGACATCACATCAACCCCAAGCTGATGCACTGCAAGGGTCCTTTCCAAGAAGAAACAGCAGCAGCTCCCCCAGTGTGAGCTGTAATTCCTTACTTCAATGCACCTGCGGTTTCTCACTGGAAACCGAGGGTTATGGGGTGGACATTTTGGCTAACGGTGGTTAAGCATACCACATCCTATATCAGGGTGCTTGGATTCAAGTCCTGGCCTTGCTCTCAATTCCAGCTTCCAGCTAATGTACACCTGGGAGGCAGCTGGTGAGGGCCAAGTACTTGAGCCCCTGCTATCCATGAGAAGGATTTGGGCTGAGATTCAGGCTCTTTTAGGGAGTAAACCAATGAATGACATTCCCTTTCTCTCTCTCTCCCCACCCCCCAAACAAAGGATAATTACAATTTTCTTTGAAACCAAGGTTTAACTAATTATGTTTCCAATGCATTTTAGTTAATTTTAAAGTTTTTAAACTTTAAAGCCATGCAGATGTCTGAGCTTCACAGGGGGAGATTCTGGTCCTGCCGAAAGCGCAGCCTGGGTGGAGGGTTTTCTGAGCTCCCCGGGAAACCTTCCTGGGCAGCTCAGCTGGGTAATGCTGCTGGGAACTGCAGAGTCCTGAGCGTCCAGCAGTGGAGTCGGCCCCTGGGGGACATGTAACATCATCCACCAGCACACAGGAATTCCTGTCTATTTAAGCCAACACTCTGCACGACTCTCCAGCAACTGAAATTCGAGACCTGCTAGCCTGAAAGTCTCTGAGGTTTCTGAGATGCAGCCCTAACTTTCTAATAAGAGAATGCAAGATGGCATGAGGACTTTGTTCTGTTCTCCCACTTGAAGTGGCTGAACATGCTAGGTGGCCCACAATGTCATGTGTCATCACGTGCCATGCGAGTCCTGTAAGACCCTCAGTTCCACCATGGTGCTGGGTTCAAGTGTCCTTACCCGGCTGTCCAGCTCTGGGGGGAACTTGGTCTGGAACTGACAGATGGTGCCGTCACTGTAGTCTCTCTGGATAAAGACTTTGGTGGCCAGCGAGGCGCTCCGCCGTAGCTCCTGCAGATTGTGCACCTATGGAGGAGGACCCAAAGCTGAGGGCTGCCCTGGGCCGTGAGGCTTCCAGGGCTAACGCTGGGCATGACTGGGCCACCCCATAGGTGCTCCAGGAAGGCCAAGGGAAGGCAGGACCATGGCATGTCCCTGTGAAGTTGCCTTCAATTGTCCCAGGGAGATCTTTAACAAGTCTAACCCAGAGTCAACACTGACTCAAAAACGAGAGACTCTGGAGCTGTGGCAGAGCCTGAAACCAATTTAGCAAGGCTTCCTGGGGCTGGCTCAGGCCCTCTTCCTCTCAATCTCTCTGTTTTTATGTATTCATTCAGCATATACCAAGTAATTCTAACTTGTCAGACCTGACCTTAGGAAACCCGGCGCTAGGTAAGGCTTAATTCTCAGACCTCAAGTGGGGTTAGTAACAGGGTTGGAGAGGCGAGCATGCGAGACAGAAGAGCATCTGGTATACTCTTGAACTCAGGCCCAGGCCAGAAAATACCCTGGATGGGAGCAGGTCCTGTGGCATAGCACGTAGAGCCACCACGTGCAGTGCCAGCATGCCATATGGACACTGGTTTGAGTCCTGGCTGCTTCATTTCCAATCCAGCTCCCTGCTAATGCACTTGGGAAAGCAGTGGAAGAAGGCTCGAGTGCTTACACCCATGAAGGAGACCAGGAAGAAGCTTCTGGCTCCTGGCTTCAGCCTGGCTCAGCCCTGGCCATTGTACCAATTTGGTGAGTGAACCAGCATATGGTAGATTCATTCTCTCTTTTTTTCTAGTTCTTCCTTTCAAACTAATTAAACAATATATAGCTTTAAAAAAAAGACAAAGGAAGCAAGGAAAGAGAAAGAAAGGCAGAAAGAAAGAAAGAAAAGAGAAAGGAACAGAAAAGAAAAGAAAAGAAAAGAAAAGAAAAGAAAAGAAAAGAAAAGAAAAGAAAAGAAAAGAAAAGAAGAGAAGAGAAGAGAAGACCAGGCCACAGATGGCCTTTACCCAGCACTTCTTGTCACAGTATGAAACAGACCAGGAACATCCCAAGCTCCCCAGAGAAAACTGGGGACAAAGTGGGCTTAGGAAACAACCTTCCCTCCCTCGCAGGAACTGGCCAAGTGGTTCCTGCCGCTTTCACACCTGCAGATTTGACACTGAAGTCGACTGTAGCATTGGAGGGGATGGCTCAGTCCCTCTGGAGCACAAAGCCTCCTTCTTCCATCTCTGCAGCCTCGTCCCCCACTTGGGAGACAAGCATCCCACTGAGGGAGCTACGTCCAACACTGGAGCCACTTGAAGCTCTGGCACCAAAGGCAGAGTGTGCAGGCAGCCAGCTCATTCCCTGTAATTAAGCTGAATCCATGCACTCACTGGGCTCCCACTCATTGAGTCTCTACTAGGGCCAGGCTCTGGGGACGCCGAGCTCCAGGGAGGAAAGCAAGCAAATATATAATGAATTCGACTGTGATAAATGCTGCTGAGGAGCAGTGTCTCACCCGGACAAGCTCACTCAGAAAAGGCTTCCTGGAGCCTGTGTTGAGTCATAAAGGAAGCCAGGAGTCACCAGGGGAAGGGGTAGGCGGGAAGGGGAGGGAGGAGGAAAGCCAATGCAGACAGGAGTCGGAAGTGAGCTTGAGGGAGATCACCTCAGAGACTAGACGCTGGTCTGGGCTGGCTTGCAGGGTGGGGAGGGGCTGCAGGGAGGTGGGAGTGCAGAGGGGGTCATAGTTGGTTCAGGAAACAGGAGGGATTTCTGCTGGGGCGGGAAGCGGGGGGTGGGGGGAGCGGGGAGGGGGGCTGGGAAGAAGCTCAGGTTTGCCTAAAAGCTGGAAGAAAGAATGACCAGAGACGGAAGTCAGCAAGGTAGGAGGCCCAAGTAAGCAGTGGATCAAGGGCTGAAAAGGCAGGAATCCAGGTTGCTCTGCGTCTTGGGGTGGGTTACACAGGTGAGCACCTCTAACTTTAGTACCCCCTGACTCTTCCAATCTAAACATTCCATTGAGGAAATCTCATTGCCATCTACTAGGTTCCTAAAATAATTCTGAAAAGTACAGAAGGCTTTGACAATATCCATCAGCTCACCATCAATGGGCCTGCCCTGTCTGCCTAAAGCTTCATATTGTTCTGTTTCAAAAGGCAAGAGGAGAGGGTTGTAGCCTTCCTCTTCCCATCTAGCCCCAACTTACAAGACATAGTCAATCTTATTTTTTTTTAAGATTTATTTTCTTTCTGGAAAGGTAGATTTACAGAGAGAAGGAGAGAGAAACAGAAAGATCTTCCATCCACTGGTTTACTTCCCAAGTGGTTACAACAGCTGGAGCTGAACCGACCTGAAGCCAGGAGCCAGGAGCCTTCTCTGGGTCTCCCACATGGGTACAGGATCCCAAGGCTTTGGGTCGTCCTATACTGCTTTCCCAAGCCACAGGTAGGGAGCTGGATGGGAAGTAGAACAGCCAGAACATGAGCCATTGCCCACATGGGATCCTTGGTGATTGCAAGGTGAGGATTTAGCCACTGAACCATTGTGCCAGGCCCAAGCCAGTCCATCTTGACAGTGAATCCCCCTGTCCCTAAGCTATCATCCTGGCAGGTCTTGGGGAAAATTCAAGTTTGTCTGAACCAAGGAAGATAGTGGTAAGAATGGAAAAAACGGGAAAGGGGCAGGGCTTCAGCCACACCTCTTGGTGCCTAAAGGCAGCCAACATGCACACATACACATGTGCTGCCACATTGGGGCGTGAGCTGCCTCTCCTCCCTCCTAGCCATACCACATCTCACATCAGGTGTGGCCATCTGAATGCCGTGGGAGTGGAAGTGATGTGAATCAAGCATCCTCTTGATTCCTAAAGATGCTCCCTGCTTTCTGGCTCTTTTCCATTCCACTAAAACCAAGACTGCTGTGTTGCAGATGGTGGAACCACTAACTGCAAAAGACCTGGGTCCCCGACTCAGTGCCTAGAAGAGATTTACCTACTGGTGAAGAACATTTGCCCGGGTAGTAAACTTCCATCAGACTAAGCCAGTAAGTCATTGGATGCCACCTTGTGTGGGACAGTCCACGTCCTCTTCTGGGCTTTGATCGTATGAACAAGAGAGGCCAATGTCCTGTGCACTCTGAGAGGACAGCCTGACTCTGGCTGAGGACAGTGAGGACAGCCAGTCACTCTCCCTGGAGACTGTGTGGGGACCCTGGAGGAACTGGCCATAGGGTGGCAACAGACACATTTCATAGGACAAAACTTTGGTCTCCCTAAACTTCACAAAGCACGCCCATCACAGACCCATCTGCAGCTGCAAAAAGGGCAGGAGTTAGGGCAAGCCAGGGACTCCAGCTCCCTCCACCCTCGGGGGCTCCCCTGTGAAATACCAAGAAGCCCTGGTGGAACGCTGTCCCATGGTGCCAGACCCAGAGACCTGACTTGAGCCCATATCCCTGGGGACGTCATCCCTTCTCTGCCTGCCTCCCTGCCCCCCACCATTTCCTTAACTGGGAACTCCACAACCTTCCAGAGCCTCATCAGAGACTGGGACACAAGTGATTCCAGGGGCTGTCAGTGACTAAGCAGCAAAGGCCTGGCCTGTCTCAAGGAGGCAGCAGATCACTCCCCTAAGAGGTCAACAGAGATTTCAATTTTTCAAGATGCCACAAATCCAGATCTTACTATCAATACCTGGATGCTTCAATGTTTCCAACCAATTTCATGCATTTAGAGGCACTACACTAGTCCAAGAAGGCACTGTTTGGACCACAGCTTCCAGTACCGAACTCCTGTGAAAAATGTCACAGCAAGAGCCCTTCCACAGGTGCTGCAGCCAGGCTCCAGACCACCTGCCAGCCATGCATTCATCAAGAAGTGAAAATCCATGATGTTCCAAAAATATTACAGGAAGAGCACCAAACATGGCTGCCCTTTCCAGAGCGGTATCAGCTTTCAGGCCTCCCCTGAGCACCCCAAGGGGTTTCTTCACTGACCCAAAGATCTCAGCTTCTCTCCCTCTCCTGCTTTCCTCCAACTGCCTCTTCCTCACATCACCTCTCCCAAGCCTGCTGGCAGCTGAGTAAGGACACAACCAAGAATCATGTCACAGGCCCTGGTTTTCAAACTGCAGCATGACAGAGTGGGGTGACTGCTTGCAGAGCAGGCACTGCAGGCCACACACTGAGGTCTGTATGCTACCTGTCAACCGCACGGTCTGGGTAGGCAAAAGCCCTAGGTGGCAAATGGGCTCCCACACCCAGTTTGCTTGAGATCAACAGGATACCAACCTGGTGCATGCCTGCCTCCTGAGTAAAGAGCATCTGGTTCCATTGGCTGCAGGCGATGCTCAACTCCAGAATCAGGGATTCAGCAGATGTGCCAGGGCTGGGTTACCTCGCTGGGGTATGGCACAAGAGTAGCGCACCATGAGACACAAGCAGCCAGGTCAGGCCTGAGGATGGAAGACCACATACAGGCTTCCCTTCTTGTCAGCCCTCACTGGTACCCATCTAGTGATTGCTAATTCCATGCTCCAGAGAGGAAACCTCCAAATGCTCTGCTTGGAAGCATTTAAAAAGCTCTGAGAGGCCAGGGCCAGCACAGTGGCATAGCCGGATAAGTTGCAGCCTGTAGCACAGGCATCCCAATTGGGTGCTGGCTCATGTCCCAGCTGTTCAATCCACCTTGCTAATGCACCTGGGAGAGCCGTGGAAGATGGCCCAAGTGTCTGGGTCCCCACATCCATGTGGGAAACCCTGAAGAAATTCCTGAGTCCTGGCTCCTGGCTTTGGCCTGGCCCAGTCCCAGCCATTAAAGTCATTTGGGGACTGAATCAGTATGTGGAAAACCTCTCTCTCTCTCCTCTTTTTCTTTAACTCTGCCTTTCAAATAAATAAAACCTTAATTTTTTTTTTTAATTCTCTGAGGAGCTAAAGTCCACCACTCAGAGATGCCCCCGCCCAGCCAGGCACCTGCCAGTGTCCCTTCCCGCGGCAGACCCTGCTCCCCATGACACACATTCACAGAACTGCACTGCTCAGGAAACAGTCTCCTCACAGCCTTCCAAATGAGGTCAGCGTACCACTCAGGAGGCTCCACCCTCCTCTGAGGACCTGGCCCACACACTTCTCCCTTGGACTGACTCCTCAACAGAACTCAGGAAGAACCACCCTAGCTGCACCCACAGCCATCCTCTCTCTCTTCCCTCTCACCCCCTCAGTTCTCTTTTCTCCTGCCTTCCACTGGAGCTGAATTCCTATTTAGAATCCTAAGGTGACAGCCACGGAAACTGGGTGTGAGGTTTTCCTGCTCCCAACAGCTGCTTCCTGGTAATCTCACCCTAGTTCTAATAGTGAAGGAGCCTGGGGTGAATGCCTCATCCCTGAGCACAGATCGTGCGCACGTCCAGTGCCTTGGCACCTTGGCGAGCTAAGGCTTCCTGCTCCTGGGACCATGCTTGCCCTCTGCTCCGTCCTCTGTCCCTCGGCCCTACGCTAGCCCAGCCAGGCCAGTTGGGAGCCCAGGTCTTCACACTCCAGTCCTTCCTGACTCCTTCGCGCTTCTCCCAATCCCCATCAAAGTCTCCTGTCAAGACTCTTAGCAACATAATTGGCTAATTGGATAATTATGGATGCTGCCAAAACAAAACACAACAAAAATGTCAGCAGTGAGGACAGAGGCGTGGGACTCAACTTTCTATCCTGGCTCTGCTATCTCATAGATGTGTTTTCTGGAAGAATGCTGTGAATGTTCCAGTTGCATCACCTGCAAAATGGGGTAGTGACGCCTCCCTGGGCCCTTCACAGGGATCCAGCAAGCTTCCCAGGCTCAGTCATCACCTCTGCTAATTGCAGCTAATGACCCCATCCTTGCCCACTTCACAGGGCTGGGCTAAGCCTCAAACGAAATCACCAGTGCCATGGTACTTTGCACATGGGCCAGTGCTAAGACTTGCCGAGGCGTGATAAACCAAAGCTGCTCCCAGGAGAGGCACACAGGCCTCACTGCAGCCTCCTGGAACGCCACCTTGCCCTAAGGACATGAGCCTGGAGATCCTGGTGGACTCAAGAAGGAGACACACAGGGGATAGAGGGACCTTTTAAGATCCATAGGATCTGAGCATGGAGGCAGCTGCCTGAGCATCCCACACGGCCTGGCTTCAGCTGTATCTGCCGCAGTCTGAAAGATGGACCAGCTCCCTGGCCCTCTGAACACTCTGCATTCCTCCACTCGGCAAGCTCTGAGAGTCTGCCTGCAGCTCGGCCCCTCACCGGGTCCTGGGAGTGTACACCTTCCTCCTGGCCAATGCTGTGCTTTGTGTGAAAGCACCACAATGCCAGGCAAGCGCTCCCTGGCGTGGCGGGGACTTCAGTGGAATCACAACAATGGCATCAGTATTACGGTCACGCTGCTCCCCGGACGCCCGGAGGCACTCGTGCGGAGGCCTCTGCTCTCCTCCTGGCACTGTCCCCAATGGTGCCGGAAGTGTGGAGATACCACAAAGGCAGTTAACATCAGACAAGGGGGAGACTGCGCTGTCCTGGATCCCACTCCAGAAATTCAAAGAATGAAACTTGGAGCCCTGTGACTGGCATGCTGTGTGAGTACCAAACCGGTCGCTGCCTTCTGCTTCCTCAAGTAAGGAGCAGGGATGTAGCGGTCTCTCTCTAAAGATCAGAAGACAGGAGGAGTCCCTGGGGCTGGAAGGCGAAATGTCGCAAGCTCTTCAAGCACCAAGATTCTGCCCCTAGCCCACAAGTCCGTTAAAGGTGACACCCTGAAGTAGGCAGCACCTCCCAACAGACTCAGGGTAGGGGGTATTGTGCACACCTGAGTCAGGAATGTCAGATGTGGTGAAACAGCAAGCAAGGGTACTGTGCACAATGCTAGGGGTGGGAGAGGCAGCTCATCAAAACCATCCGTTGGGGTTCTCTTTGTCCCCTCCCTCTTCCAAAGGAAATGCGGATGTGTAGGCAGGTCTGTTGTCGGCTAGCCAAGCTTCAGGTTCAGAAGCTGGGTGATGCACCGCCTAGCAACCACAGTTGCCTTCCCTCATCTGCCTGCTCCAACCCTCTGGGGAAGAGGTATCAGGACTTGTCTTCCAGGGGCGGAGGGCCCTTCAGCAACCCTGGTGCCAGTGCCAACAAGTGGTGCGGGCAGCCTGGGGATCCAGGCGACAAGGGGCTCCTCTCTCCCACCCTCCCCCACCTCCTCCTCCTGGGCTTACCACCTCCCACCCCCACCCAGTTCTCCCTCGTCGTGCACTCGCTCCCGCGGGACAGTCGGCACGCACAGTTGCGGAATCGACCCCTACCTCAGTGGCCATGTTCCGGGAAGGCGGGTGGCACTGACCGCTCCGGGGCCAGGTGAGGGGGCTGTCCGCAGTGCTGACCCGGGTCCTGGGTGGGCAGGTGGTGGCGAGTCGGGGCACTGTCCACGGTGCTGATACGGGGGGCGGGGGGGGGGGGCGCTGCGCTGTCCTCGGTGCTGATGCGGTCGCCGGGCCCGGGAGGCGAGGCCGCGCCCGAGGCTCTCCCGGCCGCGATCGCCTGCTGCTGCTGCCGCCGCTCCTGCAGGCAAGCAGCCGGCTTACCTCCTGAAGCGGCGGGGGCGAGGGGCGGCCGGGGGAGGAGCGGCCAGGCGCCTGGCGGGCGGGGAGGGGGACACCGAGTCCCCCGACTCCGGCGCCCTCCCGAGGAGCCCCGCCCGCGGCCGCAGACTCGGGGCCCGGCCTGCCCAGGCCCCGCCTCCCTGGCCCCCTCCCCCCTGGGCCACGCAAGGGCGCCGGGAGCTAGGCGCTGGCCGGTACCGCCCCGGGGGACCTGGAGGCTGGAGGGGCCGGAGTGGCCGGAGTGGCCGGGGAGGGACTGCTAGCTTCAGGAGCTGACCATCCCCGAGCGCGGCGTCTGTCTTCCCAGCACCCGACTCCGGCCCTTCCCCCGCCCTCCTGCAGGCTTCCTCGGGTGAATTATTTTCTCTCCTTTCGCTCCCATTTCCTATCTTTGCAGTCCAGGAATGCCTGGCCGCCTCTCCACCCTCTTTCCCCCTGCCACAAGGAGTCCCATTCGCCCTCGGAAGCCGCTGCAGTCCGTGGAGTCCCTTCTTGCAGAAAGCTCAGAATTCAGTCTCTCCTGGATGCTCCTTCTGGCCCTGGTCCTACCCCCATGCTTCCCTCTCTCTTCTGTGCCCCAGACTGCACACACACCCCTACCTGCTGCCACCACTCAAACAGTAGGCACAGATGGTTCCAGACCCATGTGCTGGCTCTCACAGAGGGCAGGTGTGGCCCTGCACAGCCTTTACATCTTGGGCATCACCCCTTCCATCCCTCCAGGTGGCCCATCCGTGTGTTTGCTTAATAAGCAAGAAGGAAACACCAACATGTCTGGCTTCTTACTCATCCAGGTCCCGCCCCTGAGTCTAATCTCCCATGCCCCAGAGGCCTCAGGGCAGCCCACGCAGAGGTGCCAGAGGTGCCAACAGGAGGCCTGGCTGCTGGGACCCCTGTGTCCCATTGGAGGGCCTGGGCTGCAGTCAGCTCTGCCCCCACTTTGAGCTTCTTGCTTCTGCACACTGTGGGCGCAGGTGATGGCACCTGTGCTTGCCTACATTTCCCTGGGAAACCCGGACTGAGTCCCTGTTTCTGGCTTCGGGCTGCCCAGGTCAGGCTGTTGAGAGGGAGTGAACCAGCAGATGGGACTAACTGTATCTCTCTCTCTCTATGGCTCTCAAGCATTTTTTAATGAAGTTGGACTTCACTTAACTGTGTCTAGAACCCTTCAACATTTTACTTTGAAATTTTCAAACACACAGAAAAGTTGAAAAAAAAAAAAAAAGAAAACCAGCACCATGAACTCTCCTATCTGGCTGCTTCAACAATGGACACTTCACCACATTTACTTTCTTGGTAGCTAGAGAAACTGAGACGGATGTGACTTGATAATAATTAACAACAGAAGGACGCTGTGAGGCTTTAATCCTAAGCGTTTCACCACACAGCTCCTACAACTCAGACCATTTTACCTAACCACAGTCCCTCTCACAGCCTTAAAAATTCCTTGTCTTCTAATATTCTTGGGAGTTTATTCCCTGACAAACATGTGAACAGCAACAGCCTCTTACAAATTCCAAACTGCATTTCTGATAGCTGACATATATATTAAAATTTTTTAAAGAATCTTTTCAAATTATTTTTATTTTTGATGATTTTTACATAGTTGATTAGGGTGATTAGGGTCAAGAGCTACAGGAAGGTGGATGAGATCACTATTTCCACGCTCATTTTTTTTTCTTCCTGTACCTGAGGGGAAGGGGAGAGAAGCCACACCCGGTCTCCCAAACACCTCTGCACCCTGGGTCCAGTCACCCACCACCACACCAGGGTCCCCATTGTGGGGCATGCTCTGAGGGTCCTGTTCATGAGGTTTCGATAGTTCAACAGCTCTGAATAATCACCAATCTCACCACTCCAAGCATGATGAAATCTCTCCAGAATCCATTGGTTCACATAGTCCACCTTAGAGTCTCTATTTAATAGCTGATATTTACTTAGAAATATCATTCTGCATGGATGGTCTTCAGCATCCTGCATGATTACTCCTTCGGTTATATGCTCTTACTATTCTTTTTATTATTATTATTCCCACTTTACAAATGAGGAAAGAGCAAGTTGCCCGAGGTCGCGTGGCTGCTGAGGCAGACACAAGCAGTCACGCCTCTGTGCCTCCAGCGTAGCTGGTCTTCCTAACTGGACGGCTCCCTTGGGCTTCCTGGAGAGCATCCACTGGCAGAGCCACACCCACAGCACCGACTGCCGATTTCATAGCTGAGCACACCGAGTCCCAGAGGACAGTGACATGGCAAACAGTCAAAGGCGGGCGTTTTGTTCTACCTCACAGTTCAGCAAATGATTTGGCATCAGGAAGCAAGCTGAGGCTGCCTGTGGATCCCATGGAGGTCACTGGTAATAGCTGACCACATATCTGGCGGTCTCCGTGTGCTCCTCACATGGAATTGATTCTGATTTTATTTACACTGCACACAATGACAAGAAGCCTGCTTGGGGGTGTTCAACAAAGTCATTCATTCATTGTATATGAAGGGTCTTCAAAAAGTTTATGAAAAAAAATCCATGCAAAAGTTTTTTTTAAATGATTTATACCAAAATAAAGCATCTTTTAGTTCCATTTCTCATACACTTTTTGAAGTCCACTTGTATTTGGTGAGCACCGATTGTGTAACAAGCACTGTTTTAAAGACACCCGGGTTGTCTACACTTACAAGACTCTGTTTGTTTCTTTGTTTTTAAGATTTGTTTTAAATTAGAAAGGCAGGTTTGCAGAGAGGTGAGACAGAGAGAAAGCCTTTCCATCCAACTGTGAGGTGGAACAAACCATTTGGTTCATTCCTCAAATGTCTGCAATGGCCAGAAGCTGAGCCAATCCAAAGCCAAAGCCAGAAGCCTCCTCTAAGTCTCCCCACATGGATGCAGCCCTGGGCCATCCTCCACTGCTTTTCCCAGGCCACAAGCAGGGAGCTAGATTGGAAGTGGAGCAGCCAAGACATGAACTGGTTCCTTGGCACATGCAGTGCAAGGATTTAGCCACTAAGCCATTGTACCAGGCTTGACTCTGTTCTTACTAAACTTACAGATTGATACAGGGGATAACAGCATACAATACGTGAGTAAATGAGTACTTACCTGTTGAGTTTTGATCATTACTGAAGCAAATGAGGCCTGGTCAGAGCACAGGGTAATAGATTGTTTTAGAAGGAATAGTCGGGGGAAATTTTGTCTGAGGTAAATTTGGGCAAAGGTGTAAAGGAAAAGACATACACACCCCAAGGGAAGAAGGACAATGCAGAGAGCATGGAGTGCAGGGCAGGAGTGGACTTAGCATGCCTGGAGAACAGCCAGGACACCAAGGTAGCTAGGTTACTGTGCATACGGGGAAGGGAGACAGCAGCTGACATCACAGAGACAGCAGGAGCCAGGGTAGAAGGCCTGCAGACCACGATGCAGAAAGTGAGATGGCAAGCTTTACAAAATTTAGAATACAGGCATAATGGTATCCAACTGCAGGATTTATTTTATTTATTTGAAAGGCAGAATGACACTGAAAGGTAGAGGCAGAGAGAGCGTGGTAGTGGGGAAGAGGTAGTCCATTCCACCTGCCGGTTCATTCTTTGAATGACCACAATACCAGTGCTGGACCAGGCCAAAGCCAGAAGCCTGGAACTCCATCCAGGTCCCACATGGGTGACAAAGACCTAAGTGCTTGGGTATTTTCTGTTGCCTTCCAGGTGCATAAGCAGGAAACTGAATTGGAAGTTGAGCAGTCAGGGCTGGAACCAGCACTCTGATATGGGACACTAGCATGGCAAGCAGCAACTTACTTTGCTACAGTGCGGGCCCATAATTGAAAGGATTTTTAAAATAATTATTTTACCTTTTTATTGGAGAGGCATATTCATAGAGGGAAAGAGAAACAGAGAAAGATCCTTCATCCGCTGGTTCACTCTCTAAATAGCTGCAACAGCCAGAGCTGAGCCAATCCGAGATCAGGAGCCTGGAGCCTCTTTCGGGTATCCCACATGTATGCAGGGTCCCAAGGCTTTGGGCCATCTTCCTCTGCCTTCCCAGGCCACAAGCAGGGAGCTGGATTGGGAAGTGGGGCTGCCGGGATTAGAACCAGTGCCCATACAAGATCCTGGTTCGGGCAAGGCAAAAACTTCAGCTGCTAGGCTACCGCACCAGGCTCATAATTAAAAGTTTTTGAAGATTTATTTTGTTTTTATTCAAAATAAAAGCTTTACAGAGAAAGAGGGGAAACTAGAGAGAATTACTTCCATCCACAATGACCTTTCAAATAAAAATTAAACCTTAAATAACAGGCATGGTGAAAAGTGACCACATTCTGGATACAAGCCGAAAGTAATCTGAGGGCCTTCAGATGGATTGGATGTGACTCCAAGTATTGAGGTCTGAGCCATTTATTGAGACGGGGTTGGGGAGGAAAAGGCTGAGTAGCTAGACAGTGTAGGGACCGTGGTGTGTTGCTGGTGTCTACTGGCCTAAGCTTGAGGTTTGAGGGGCAGCTTGTAAATGCAACAGGCACTGGGGTCTGGCGGAGCAGGGTGGAGTTGGAGCTTTGCCTTCCAGAGTCATCTGCATGAGCATGGTATTTAAAACCATGACTGTAGTTGAGATCATCAAGGGAGTGGAAAAGCTGGAAACACTGTCCAAGTGATCCTGGACACATCGTGACTTATGGGATAGGAGACAAAAGGCGGCAGTGAAGGAGGTGACCAGAGAGAAAAAGAGAG